CAGGCCAGCGAAAAATCTAACAATCTACAGCAAAACCATCAATTATTATGGGCGTTATAACATAGGTGTGCAGCTGGATGAAACATAGACGTCGAACCCCCGCAGACGATTTAAATACCTGACGAAACATACATGTCAAACCACACTGAACGGTTAAGTTACCAGCTCCATACTTCTGCATCTAACTCTCTGACCTGGGTATGCAAAAAAAATGTATGTATATATTCTTTTACATGTGCCTGTTTCACATACTAATAATCCTTACATCCATTATTGAAAACAATAAAAAATACAAGTTTCTAGATGTCTTAAATAACCATTTTTCATTAAAATGATGGTAGCTGATAACAAAGACTATTTGTGACAGATCCACCTACTGACAGAATCAGTACTTCCTGCAACCAACACGAGTATAATCATGATCTCCCCAGGTACAATTAAAATTAATATTATGGGTGTAATGTAACTGTAGCCACCACTAAACATGCTGTAAAACAGCTAAGGAATTATTACAGTGTAATTACATATGCATCTGAGTCTACTGCACTGTATTTTTCTTTCCAGGGGTGGGGGTTAAATTGCTTACAAAAGCAATTTAACACTAGTTTTACTGAACATCCTAGGGTATTATAGATATAAGAATATATTTTGTATTACTTGACACTCATATTTGCTCCCCCCACTTTCTGGGCTCGATGACATACAGTATTCCATCTCCCTTTCTGTCTGTCTAAGCTAATTTTATCTATCTGTCCACCTAGTGATCCTATCTAATCTATTCCATTTATATTTATATATAATTCACCATCCACTCTAACCAATTCACCCATCTATTTTGCCATGTCTCTCTCCTGTCCAATCTATCCTACTTGCACCTCACCAAAATTAATTAAGAACCAGGACTCCTCCCCTGTTAACTCTATCAAGATGTCACAATGTATTCTTAAACACAGAAGTCAGAATGTAGCCAGTGCATTTCAACACTTTCATCCTGTTAAAAGAAAAAAAAATTAAGGTATCCATGGAGGGTTGTGAGATGTTGAGGTTCCCACATTTTCTAGACAATCAGCTCATAGATGGTGGTAAGGTTGTCAGCCTTATGCACCAGCCACCCTTTAGCCCCAAGAATATTCCTGGTACTCATTTCTGTTAAGAGGCTGAGTAGAACCCAGGGCCATAGTGCAGCTGGAAGGATTTGGTAAACTGAAAAAATCCACCTAAGCAGGATTTGATCCCACAACCTTCCTGCTCGTACCATAGTGCCTCAACCAACTACGCTACCACTTCCCCCACTTTCATCCTGTTACAGATGATGAAGGCAAAATTCAGGAAGAACTTTCCACAGACCTCCTAACTGTTATTTTGAGGAAGTACAGAAATTATCAGCACAAAAGTGGAAAGAATGAAAAATTATTTTGTTCTCTGATGCATAAAAATGCACATGACATATTACTGGAAAGCATCAACAGTCTCCAGTCACTTACATTTCTCATACACAGCTGCTATGGTACGGATTCCGTAATTGCTGAGTGTGCACAGTATCTCCACAATGGCCTCCTCATCAGTGCCAATCCCACTGATGGCATCATGCAATTCCTTAGCATATAGGTCAGGTAGTGAGGTCATCAGAGCAACGATAGCATCTTCAAAGTGACCACCCAGCTCACTCTTCAACTCATGAATCAATTCCTTAAAGAAAACAAACACAAAATGATGATGAAAAACACATCCACGACAAAAAGAACTGTTCAATGAAATGCACCAGTATAGATCATAATTCTTTGCAAAACAGTGAAAGTGCATGTTTAATCAAGATATCTCCAACAAAATTTTGCTGACAATTTATGAATTACACGCAGGTTTAGGTTATAAAATGTACACAAAAGTGAAACCAAAGTTCATATCTATATGCACACCAGCATACAGATCAGAAGGAATTTCTATGGCAAACTGTTAAAACACAAATTTCATTAAAAATACCTAATCTCAATGAATTCACAAGTTCTGAAAAGACAGTTACATTTATGACCATGGACTAACAAATGCACTGCATGGCGCTGCTGTCTAAAGCAAACTGTTGAACACATTAACATGGATTCATTTCATTTTTAAAAATGAATGTATGTATAAAAAGGGCCTAGGCAATGCCCATCCAGCCCTCTGTAGCAGAGTTTTATAAACATCTTATTCTTGTTCTTCTCCTTTGTTTCAAATTCAAGCAGATCCAGAGACAGGTTGAGAAGTAAATTCACAAACCACTGGATATACGTAGATTGTCACATATCAGAACACATGTTCCAATTAATCATTATCTATCACAGTGATCACCCCACGATTTTTTACTACATCTCTTAACTCTATACTATTAATATTTTGCACATTTACTTCTTTTTCTTTTTAATAAATTTATGAATTTCCTTTATGCTGTTCTCAGACAAAATGTCCATCACTGTTGCACTTTGGTCTTCGTACAGTTTATAGTCACAGAGTACATGTTCCTCCGTTTGCAGCCATCACCTGATTCGCATTCGGCCGTGAACACAACATTATATATATTCAAGCTTACTTTAGGACTGGAGTGGCCTGCTCTCATGCAGTTTATTGACACGAAGGTATGATGGTTCATTTTTATCTCACGGAATCACGAAGATGAGTCATTCCTGAAATACCTTTCAAAGTAGCTTTCTCCTCTGTCCCTTTTGGTGATTTGACAGAAACTGTGAACCTCCTCTTTCCCTTTCTTTTTCCTCTGGACTTTAAAATCTGCCAGTGGGAATGGTTGTTGACTACCTCTGCCTTCTCTGATTATTACTTTACCTCAGAGTCAGTTCACTAATTAACTTCAACTACACAGTGCCCTGGGAGCCAGTAAAATTGGATTTTTTCCTTGCAATTCCAGTCTTTCTAATTTCCTTCAAGCATTTGAATATTGTGATGTGCTGTTAATTGCAGATGTGTTATTAATTCCTTATAACATGCTCTCTGATTACAAGAAACTCCTGTAATTTTGCTCTGAGTCTATTTTTACAATGATTTCTAATGTTTCACCAATGGCTAGTGCTTCTGCTGTGAATGTGGACCCTATCTTAGCTATCCTGAATTTTCAGCTTATACCACCACTTTTATCTATTGATGCAAATCCTATGAATGGTTTGATCACCATAATTGAGTCACCTGTGGTGAAACATATACTGCTGCCATCTTTTGTTTCTATCCATAACTACTTGCTAACACATATAACAAATATAAATAATGAAAGAATGGCAAGCCTTCACCTATATATTTATAACAATATTCTGTTATACTTGAAAACTAAATTAAAATTACAAAAAAGTTTCAACTGAGAGAAAATTACAGATTTTCTGAAAACAGAAAATAAGGCCTCTACTCAAGAGAGAACTGGTGGCAAACAGATGGCAAGGAAAATAAAGAAGTCTGCTGTTCAGTGAAATATAAAATTTGCCTCTATACATTCAGACAACCTTGCTCAACCCTTTTTATATTGGCAGCTTATTTCTTAACTGCAAGTGCAGGGCTTAAACAGACAGGTGATTAATGTACATACTGTGCAGAACAGTGCTTATATTGGACAAGCTGTCAATATTTTAACCAAATGCTATTACTAAAAAGATCTTCAATTTTGGTGTATATAATATTGATTTTCTTTAAGTACAAGGTACTAGTGTTCCTTGTTGAACCTGAGGCTCTGAATTGGTGACATAAATTTGTCATTTTTGAATTTACAGACTCAGATCTGCTGCATCTCAAAAGTCATTAGTTTTGCTGCTACCATTATGAAAAATCCTGCCATAAAATGGAAACAAACAAGACTGATCACATTTCTGAAGAACGAAATAACTACAATGACATACTGAATGTATATATAATTTATCAGAGGACAGGAATAGCATAAAAAAAATCAAGTGTAGCACTATAGACAAAATTAAGAGGGCACTACAGCAAATCATGTCTCATTTCTGACCCTGGTTTGTATAAAACTTATGGTCAAATGTCAAGTTTATATCACGAGTGGCCTAACTTAGGACCTCTCAATTGGTATAAGAACGAACATTTCAGTGATTTAGAGTGTGGGAAAAATTAAGGAAACCTTTCAAATGCCACAGCTTTAAAATTAACTGACACAGGACAGAAGAACTTCACACTTATTACTTACAGGTCAGACTCTGTAGGCCTTCAAAACTGCACTTAAATCTAAGATGGTCAGGTCAACTACTGTGTTGATTTGACATGGAATGAACTCTATCTTTAACCTACAGGAGGGAATATACCACAGACAGACAGATGTGCACCTGCACATGGGTATACTTCAGGTAAAATTTAAAATGACACTACCTTTCCAAACAGAGTCTTGAAAGTCTCAGCAATCTCCAGTCTCTGCACAACTCCTCTTTTTGCTAAGATATCAATTATTGTTTGCTCATCAGTTCCAAAACCTTTCATTGCTGCTCGCAATGTTTCTGCATCTGCAGTCGAATCAAATGGTTCTGCAGGGTAAACTGTAGGTGTACACTGAAAACATACATACTAAGTCTCAAAATTACACTCCCCATTCATATAACACGTGAAAGCAAGCATTAAGAACTGCAAACAATTTAAATGTTTGTGTTCTGAAAACAAAAATCCATACCTGTACAGGATAGTACTTGCGTGAGCTCATCTTATTTTATTTGAAGAAATCACGAATCTGAAAAAGCAAAGTACCAATCATGAACAGACAGAGAACATAACTAAATACACAATCATGAAATACATATCTATACCTCTTCCTATGGGACATAGATCACACAAACCTAATCTAGAAGGTATGCACAGCTGCCTTGTCAGAAAGAAAGTACTTCCTTCAGCTTAAATGAACGGAGATTATCTTCAGAATAGCTAGCTTTCCGGGCTAGTCTTACTCAGTGATGATGTCGTTTTTGAGGAAGCAATATGATTCACATTTCTTAGCAAGAACAGCATGGAGTAATTTGTTCCTTGGAGGAAATGTGACTCATATCTCCTAGCTAGAAAGGCGTGGTCCAAATCACAATCCAACTTTAACATGTTGCACGAACTGTATTACCAACATATTTTATCATTCGTTCTGTAACATTCAACGAACCTACGCATGGAATTACATTTAAAATGTGACAACAACCTTCGGGTCATAACATTACAGTCAAGAAAAATCATCGTTGCTTTATCTAGAGGATCTAGAGCATCTAACACGGTACGTCATCAACGGAATTGGCAAACTGACTAGTCCAATGGGTTCAACTACATCTGCAGTACGGCAACTTTGAGTCTCACGTATGTTTAAACTGGAATCCGAAAAATTCGCAGTAATGACGATATGATCTACGACACTACCCGATGATTTCACCCACATTACGTCGAGTGACTCACCGATAGCTGGGCGTGCCGCGACCTTGAGAGCAAATATTTATGCGTCAAAAACGTGTACAATTCTGTCATATTATGGCACTTTTCATAAATATAATACAAGGGAATTAAAATTACAATATTCAAAAAAGACTATATGAAAACAGGACCGGCACAAGAGTCATATTTCAACTTACACAAATTCTGTCACATTCAGAAATACGAACAATGCTATACTTTTCGCTGTTCTACTGCACATTATCAATTACTGCAAAAATTTTATAACTTAATGTAATTGTTACTTACAACGCATAAATTCCACTACACTCACCTGCCTGAAACAACTACGAAGCGAAACTAGTAAACTTCCAACACCAACTACCAGCATCGACCGACGCGTTAGAACCGTTAGAATGAAGTACCAAAGTCAACAACGGTCCTGTTGTCCTGTTGCTCCTGTTAGACCTGTAAGACCATGACATGTATTGGTAACGAGAACAAAGAAAATGAAATATGACACTGCTGCAATAATCACGCAATCGCTTACGTAGGCTGCATTAATAACACTGAAAATAAATAACTACATAATGCAAAATTACTACCTGCTGTGTGTAACTAACCGGCCGGAAGTGAGATGTGGGATAGTAGTTCACCTTCTTATCGACTGCGCTCTAGGCAGTGATTGCATGACGTCATACATGACACTTTAGTAGCGACCAAACGGGCAGTCTCGTCTTGTGATCGGTGAACATGATTCAACCAATTGTCTCCGCGTCTAGATGTCACTAGTGAAACTTCTCGTGTTCTCGTGAATCTTATCCTACTCGTTGCTCACTTCGCTCACTTCTACCAATGTGTTACCTATCCATTTTAATTTATCCGTGGTAATTGGATGCTGATTCGTGTTGTATGTCATGTTATAAACAGTTTCCGACATTGGAACATTTTTTTTTTTTACCAGGTACATGGGTGGCCATACCATTTCAAAACTTGAATAAATTGTTACAAGAGTAGTACCAATGTTGGATGCCACGTCAGAATATTTCAGTCTGCAGTAAAAGTCATACCCGTAATTTATTAAACCGTACGAGTTTTGTTATGTGGCGACTTGTAGCACTTCATGTTATTTCAGGAATGCCCCTTTGTGAAGTTCATACAAAAAAAAATGAATACGTACACGGTGTTTACTGTATGATAATTATGTCATGATTGTATTTTTTAGTACATAGTAATTAATGAAAATTGGACTTTCTGAGCATAACACATATTTCCTAATTGAACTTCGGTATTATATCTCTTAAAAGATCTGACATTTGTGAAGGACCCAATTACTGTTGACCTTTTATTAATAACAGGAGTGGGGGCACAGGTGCATAGGTTTAGTCTTCACTCTATATTATAACTCAAAGCATATGTTGGCATACTGCTTTTAAAGTTGAATGTGATTTTTTTTTCAATGTGGAATTGCATGGGTATGTTTTGTTTAAGTCAGTCATTAAATTTAACCTGAATATCTGTATTTTGTTAACTGGATATTGTTTTTGTCTCTTATACTTCAGAGTTTATACAAAAAGTGAAGATGTCAAGAAGGACAGCATCAGCATATAGAAATGTTAACTATCAAGAGTTGCGGAAAGATGATGAATTCACTGACTCTCAGGTAGGGATGTGTTATGAAAATTCTGTGCCTAAGCTTTGAAAACCATGAGTGACTTAATACATTACCATGATAGGTTATTTACTACCTCTGTTCCTGTCAAATATTGGTGATAATGGAAAGCTTAGGTCATTTATCCAGAGGATCCATCCAGGTCTGAGGCTTCTTGAGAACTTTCATAACAAGGTTATTTTTTTACGGTGAGGAGTTGTTAGCCCAACCCCCAAGCTGGAGGAGCACCCCTTGTTGGCTGTCCACGACTGCTTATTCAATATATTCGCAGCTTCCCTCTAAACCTGGAGGGCGTATCCTCCATCCACAACCTGAGGACACGCCATGCCATGGTGACAAGGAACCCACCTAACATGGGGTGATAATGGAAAACAGAAAAAAAAATAGAATATTTTGAAAAGGTACCATATATCTGTGACAGTTATGAATATCAAAAAGAGCAACTTGGTATTGAATTTGGGTAACAGTAATATGGGAGATCACTAGTGTAACCATGAGGCATAGAGTTGTAGAAATAATTTTACCACTGAAAACAAAGTTTACGGCTTTTAGCTAGAATGTATAGTATGAAGTTAGACCAGTCATTCTGTTAGAAGAGTGACTAGTTTATTTTGCACTATTGCACAGGGCTATGTTGGGCACATTTTTATAGTTATTTATTTATTCTTTAAATTAAATAAATCCTTTTTGGCCAAGCCTAGGATGTAGAACAAGTCACACTTAAATTAAAACATGCACAAGAACAGTTCATAAAATAGAACTCAGTCACATACAGAAGAGTCATAAAACGAAATTATACATAGTGATAATCAATAGTGATAATACTAGGCAACAAAAAAACCTCCATCTACCCCTAGTAAATTTGAGGATGTATCAAAAGGGAATCTATTATTCAGGAATGAAGGTCTACAATAATCTTCCACAACACATTAAGGATGTATCAAGTGATATTAAGATGTTTGAAGTACTACTGAAACAATTTTTACTACTACACTCTTTTTATTCATTACAAGAATATTTCTGTTACAAATCCCCTTAAGGTATTTGAATAACTCTACTCTAAAAGGAGATAAATAGCCAGATTTGTATTTTTGTATTTATAATTATTTATATTGGGTATTTTGTAACTTTTATTTTATTTTATTGTATACAAGCATTGTAATATCTTATTTTATATTACTTATTTATATTGTAACTATTATGTATCTCTTATTGAATTTTATCATTAATATGTATGTGCTAATAATGTATGACAGGATTGTTTTCCACTTGTAATTTACTTGTAATGGATTGTATTAGAATGTTTATGATATTTGTACGACAAGTTGTATCTTGAGCCAAATTTGTAACCAAGACGATCTCCACATCCACATGAGTTTGTAACTCCTGATAGGATTTATGGAAGTGAAATAAAGTATAGTATAGTAGTAAACCACAAAAAAGTGGAAATTGTTCAAGTTATAATTGATTGAATTACAGCCCATAAAAGCTTACACAACACAACCATAACATATACATTTCACAAAATTTAAATATTAAGGTATACTAAAAGTTCAATTAACGAATACAGATATAAAGTATGATAATTACATATATCTTATGAGATAAAATAACTGAAGATGAATTTGATTTGTTTCATTCTGGTCCGTCACACTAACAATATTACAAATGATAAAACAATTCCGTCCGGTGTGAAATCAAATCACAATTAAGAGGANTCCTAAAGGAGATAAATAGCCAGATTTGTATTTCTGTATTTATAATTATTTATATTGGGTATTTTATAACTTTTACTTTATTTTATTGTATACAAGCATTGTAATATCTTATTTTATATTACTTATTTATATTGTAACTATTATGTATCTCTTATTGAATTTTATCATTAATATGTATGTGCTAATAATGTATGACAGGATTGTTTTCCACTTGTAATTTACTTGTAATGGATTGTATTAGAATGTTTATGATATTTGTACGACAAGTTGTATCTTGAGCCAAATTTGTAACCAAGACGATCTCCACATCCACATGAGTTTGTAACTCCTGATAGGATTTATGGAAGTGAAATAAAGTATAGTATAGTAGTAAACCACAAAAAAGTGGAAATTGTTCAAGTTATAATTGATTGAATTACAGCCCATAAAAGCTTACACAACACAACCATAACATATACATTTCACAAAATTTAAATATTAAGGTATACTAAAAGTTCAATTAACGAATACAGATATAAAGTATGATAATTACATATATCTTATGAGATAAAATAACTGAAGATGAATTTGATTTGTTTCATTCTGGTCCGTCACACTAACAATATTACAAATGATAAAACAATTCCGTCCGGTGTGAAATCAAATCACAATTAAGAGGATGGCCAGTGTTCAATATAAACCTGAGGGTCATGTCTTCACCTGTGTGTTATTTGAGTCTTGTTTTGGGAATGACTATTTACTGGTTCTCCTAGAAATTAGAAGTCCTGTATAAATGTCACTGTTCATTTTTTCTTTTTTCCAGTTTGATATTCCAGCACAAGAAATTCGATGGAAGGCTCTTAGTCTCGCAGCATTTCTCTTTTTTGGAGGAATAATACTGCTGGTCGTTGGAAGTTTACTCATTAGTGGTCATATTGATGCAAAGGTAATAACTGCACAAGTCTGAAAATGTTCATTAAAATCTATCCAATTTTAAGCATAATGTTGAAAATTTTATTCTTAAAACTGAGATATACACATACCTCCAGAAAGTAGTATTGTAAAAGGAATGTGAAATAACAACAAATTGTGTGTTAAAGCGAAAAGTGTAGGTTTTAGAATTTTGCATAGGGCATTTCATGTAATGTTACTCAAGTTTAATGTTCATCACACAGTACCTGCAAAAAGGGAGACTGAAAAAAGAATGTTTTTATTAGTTTATGAATGGAAACACTGCCTCTGTGGTCTAGTGGTCAGAGTTCCTGGTTACAGATCCAGAGGTCCTGGGTTCGTTTCCCGGCACTACCAGATTTTCCGAGAAGTAATGGGTCTGGAACGGGGTTCACTCAGCCTCATGAGGATAATTGGGGAGCTGTTTCAAGGAAATAGTGGCTCCAGTCTAGAAAACCGAAATTAACAGGCATGGGGATTCGTTGCGCTAACCATGCAACACCCTCTGTCCGCCAAAGTTGACACTAACTTCACTGACAAGTGGCAGTCGCTTGGTCAGTATAGTTCGCTTGTGGACTAAAACCACAGAGTTTGTTTGTTTGTTTGTTTGTTTTTATGAATAGAAAATGTTTCCAGGATATGAGCTCCAAGATGATAAGGTCTTTTTCTGTATGACTGTGATTGAGAGTTCATTATGTGTATGGCAAATATGAAGAAAATAGATCAGTTCATTTATCTTACAGAGTACATATATACATAAGGAATGGGCCTAACTGCTGGCCCTTGCACCACGACCTATAGTGATCTTTTGTGCTAGCTTACAGAGTATTTTTTTTTATTGCTAGTGGGGTGGGACTAAGTCCCTTGTACTGCGGCCACTTCTGGCCTATTGTACCAGCCCCAGATGATAGGTGAGAGCGATTGTGGAGCAGTTGGTGGAATGAAGATTGGCAGGGGAAACTGAAGTACTCGGAGAAAACCTGCCCCAGTGCCACTTTGTCCACCACAAATCCCACTTGACCAGACCCGGGATCGAACCTGGGCTGCCATGGTGGGAAGCCAGCGACTAACCGCTTGAGCTATGGCACAGCCCAGCTTACAGAGTAAATGACAGGCAGTACTTTCATGATCAGAAGTACTTAACACATTGCGGATCAGTGGTTTAAACATTTAAATCACCCTGGGGACCGGCGTTTTTAAACCTACTACCCTAACTTGTGCACTGTTCACTTTAAAAATTAATATAAAATCTCCTAATTAATTTTATGAACTGAAATGTTTGGAGAACACTTACCAGAGCTCCTAGAAGTGCTTGCACATGTGATATCTCTGGAAACATTCCCCTTTGTGAAGAGGTATTACGCAGAAGTTGCACATGTAGGCAGTTCTACTCTTCTTCTTGTGCTCTGCGCACACACGGCACTACCTAGAAGGGTGTTTCTTCTTGCAATATTCACTCGTCACAATTTTCACGAGAATATGTTTCCGCATATCACCCGAGAGTCGGCCAGGGGGGTCTACTTGAGGCCTCTGGCGGGTGCGAACAGATTGCCCCGGCTGCACTACGCCTGTGTCTGACGCAGGTACTGCCGCCACCGTGACGTCAGTAGCCCAAGTTTTTGCCAGTTTCAACAGAAATGCTTTGTATTTCAAAGTAGAATTTCTGTTCACCTTTTTGAAAACCGTAAATGAATTGAAAATTGCACAGTTTATAAGCCACAGTGCAACTTTCTTCGTCCATTTTACTGTTTTCCTAGGAAGGGAATAATAGGCCAAGAACTGGTCAGCCCTATCAACTCCTTTCATGAACATATTATACTCGGAAATACAAAGAGGCTTCTTTATTTGCCCGTGTCGTCTTTGAACATCGACCATGCTCGAATTATGGATAGTGGAAACCATATTCACAACGCGAGTATCACTCCAGGACTGAAGAAGAATGTCCCCCTTCCGTCAAAGAAACTGTCTCCAAAAAACAGTGACACAACTTCAGACACGTCCGTTGGGTCCGATGGCATCTGCTTGACCCCCGGATCACCAGTAAACTTTCCCAAAGTGGGGGTTTTGTCCACTTTATCCCATGTAGCTGTCGCGACACTCGCACTTTCAACAGAGCTCTCACTTTCACTTGACACATTTTGGGCAGCCCTGTGGCCCCTGTCACTGTCACTGATAATGGCCTCGCTATCAGGAGACGAAGCAGTTGGCAAATCTGATAGCTCATCGGAGAACATATCTAATATTTCCTGTCCTCCGAGAGATCGCAACTGCTTTCGTCTCTGAGCCATGTTGAACTGGTTGCTGCGTGGTTCATACGTGCAAGCTTGGATTAGAACAAAGCCAATTTTGTTTAGGTTGTGACAGGAAATGACTCTGGTTGAGTTATTAGATAAGGCAGCAATCATTCCCGAGGTCACCTACGCAGTAGTTACGGTTCAACGAAGCCACACTGCGATATATAGCGTTTTGCAACATAACGTGACCGTATAGGGCCATATGGCCCGACCGGTCCGCAATGCTTGGAAACGCAGAGGGCCATATGGCCCGTCCGGTCTGCAGTGTGTTAAGTTATATATCTCTACTAAAGTATCAAAACTGATTGTTCTATATTCAGAATACTGTCCCTATACCATATGCATATGAAAGAACAATAGTCATGCAATATGAGCCATTGTAAAAGTAAGATATAATAATGAAAATTGTCTTCTTTTACAGTATGCAGATCGGAAATGGCCTCTTATTATACTGGGAATTATCATGTTTTTGCCAGGTGCATACCATGTAAGAATTGCATATTATGCATATCGTCAGTATCCAGGCTACTCTTTTGATGATATTCCACAGTTTGATTGAGACTATGGGAACCTGCACATGACAATACAATGAAGTACAAGTGCATAGCGTGTAATATGGACACCGCTCACTGAAGACAGTTTCAAGCACTCGTTTAACACACTTCACCTCTTAACTGCTTGACATACTTAAATGGAGGTAGTATTTTGTTCCAGAGCATCAGTGAGCTTCTCTTGGACTATATGGTGTTACATTCCAGAGACAGTCTTCATGTTACCATCAGTTTTCATATAATTCTGTTATCTGAGAGGAATAACTTCTTGTTAAACTGTACACATTACAAAAGTAGGAGGCTCAAGAACTATTAAGTACTGCACTGGGATACATGGACTGCTTGATAAAGGAGGCTATCAAGAACAGGCTTCCAACAGGGACAGGGGTTTCAGTCTCAGTTGTTCCTGGTATCCAGTGACTGCTATGATGAAGCAGGTCTGAGACACACTGATCCATGGCTGGTATGGATCCTATGCCACATCAGACCCAGATAATGGGATAGAGATGGTCCCTAAAACCTCCCTAACTTTTAACCAACTGACATAGCTGATGGCCTTAGAAGATTTCATGAAGATTGAAATTAATTATGAATGGGCAAGGTACGCCTAATTCCCAGCGAATCTATATAATAAATGATATAATGATATAAACTCTGTCCCAAGTGCAAACAATATATTATGTGTCCTTGATCTTGCTCCTTTACGATACATGTTTCGGCCTCAGACGGCCATCATCAGGTGTATAACACTCACGTTGCTGTCACACTGCACCCAGCCCAAAATTTAACATTTAAAAACACTTTTCTTGTTATTATCAACATCTAGTTCGTTGATATCTGTCTGGTTTGTAGATTATTTTACACACGTTAATTGTGACTTGTTCTAATTGTTCTAATCTTTAGTTTAGAACTAAAGATTTTATAGTGCTACTATAGGAAAGTCAAAATTAACGTGTGTAAAATAATCTACAAACCAGATAATAACAAGGAAAGTGTTTTTAAATGTTAAATTTTGGGCTGGGTGCAGTGTGACAGCAACGTGAGTGTTATACACCTGATGATGGCCATCTGAGGCCGAAACATGTATCGTAAAGGAGCAAGATCAAGGACACATAATATATTGTTTGCACTTGGGACGGAGTTTATATCATTATATCATTTATCGTATAGAGTGCAACAGGATGCTTAAATATAATATTGAATCTATATAATATTTAAAAAATTAGTTCCTGCTGAAGTAAAATACACTGCTTCTCCATTGCAAGTAAATACATCATGTTGGCAAGTCACAGGGTGTTAATGGTACATATAGTAGCTGCTGTTCTTTAAAGGGTTAAAGAAATGTAAAAGTTTTGACAGAATAAATAAACTAGGGATTACTCTGACTACCTTCTCAAAAGAGAAACATAATTGTACTGTGAACCAGTATGGGTAAACAAATTTAACTGTTGACTTGGTATGGGTGGATCCTTTGAAAATAACCCATTAATGGTATAATCTATTCTCAGTGCTAGATCAACTATAACTAGACTGTTCTTGAAGTTATGATTATTCTTAGGTGTATAAATGGTATGATTCCTTATTGCAGCTGACCTGTAATTTGCAAAAATTTGCAACCCTCATGATAGTCACATTTGCACAATATAAATATAAACTGAAGAGGACATGTAGGATTGTTTGTTAATATAATAGGGCCAGCATAATTATCTAACACATTTACCACTGTTTAAATGTGGAAATGGATCACTGAAATTGCATAAGAGTTAAGTTAAATATCTGTACATCTTCATCCTGTTTGTTCTTTATTTTACAGTGCTGTCATTAGCTAGACTATATAGCATTGAATGTTAGTATGACAGATTAAATTAAAGGAATTTGAAACAGATCACTCATGGACTTGTAGAGATATTGTCTCAACATTTGCCTGGAGAGGCTGAATAAAACCACAAACAAAACTGTTTGGATAGCAGTGTCCCAGTTGAGACTCAGGCTGAACTCTTCCCAGATATGAGTAGGGATATTACTGCTATGCCAACCTATTCACTGACATGTTTACTTTTTTCAGAAGTGCAATTGTTTTTTAAATATGTAAAATATCCCTTGATAAATCATCTTGAAAGTTAGTATATGAAATCAATGGATATTACATCTTACTCAATCATGGAGCTGAGCCCTTCTGGAGGAGCCGCCAATTCTGCAACTACTCAAGAATTTCCCAGCATTTTATGGAACCCAAAGGTTTATTACCATGGTCACAAGAGCCAATCAATACCATCCCATCCTGTCTCTCTAAGATCCATTTTAATATTGTCCACCCACCTATGCCTTGGGTCTTCCCAGTGGTCTCCTCCCTTCTGGCTTTCCCACCAATATCCTATACGCATTTCTCGTCTCCCCCATTTGTGCTACATGCCCTGCCCACCTCATCCTCCTTGACTTGATCATTCTAATTATACTTGGAGAAGAGTACAAGTTATGAAGCTCCTCATTGTGCAGTTTACTCCAACCTCCTGTCACTTCATCTCTCTTTGGTCCAAATATTGTCCTCAACACCCTGTTCTCAAACACCCTCAGTCTGTCTTCCTCCCTTAATGTCAGAGGCCAAGTTTGACACCCATACAGAACCACAGACAAAATTATAGGTTTGTATATTCTAATTTTTATGTTTTTGGACAGCAGACGAGAAGACAAACGGTTCTGGACTGAATGGTAGCAAGCATTACCCAAGTTCAGTCTCCTCTTAATTTCCTCCTGAATCAGGTTTTGATTTGTTATTATTGTTCCCAAATATCTGAACTGTGCCGCATTTTCAAAACATCTGTTTCCTATCCTTATGTCATGAATTTGACCTGAATTTTGGTGATGAGACAGAAACATGTACTTAGTTTTCTCTGTGTTTACTTCTAGATCAACCTCTTTACTTGCATCAATTAAAATTTGTGTGTTTTTCTTTATGGTATCTATGTTATCACCTAACAGATTCACATCATCGGCATAGGCCAACAGCAGATGTGTCCCATTTAATTTCAGTTCCACCTGGTTTCCCTGGACCTTCATATTCTAAAGAAAATTTGAAAAGTAGTGGTGATAAAGCATCTCCTTGTTTTAGACCATTCTNCTTATGTCATGAATTTGACCTGAATTTTGGTGATGAGACAGAAACATGTACTTAGTTTTCTCTGTGTTTACTTCTAGATCAACCTCTTTACTTGCATCAATTAAAATTTGTGTGTTTTTCTTTATGGTATCTATGTTATCACCTAACAGATTCACATCATCGGCATAGGCCAACAGCAGATGTGTCCCATTTAATTTCAGTTCCACCTGGTTTCCCTGGACCTTCATATTCTAAAGAAAATTTGAAAAGTAGTGGTGATAAAGCATCTCCTTGTTTTAGACCATTCTGGATAGGAAATTTACCAGACAAATGTTTACCTATATAGACTTTACTATACATTTCGTTTAAACACATTTTAATCAACCTAACTAGTTTCATGGGTATCCCAGACTCTATCAGAATATTGTACAATACTTCCCTCCTAACCGAATCATAGGCTTTCTGGAAGTCTATGAATAGCTGATGTACTGTCTCACTGTACTCCCATTTTTTTCCAATATCTGTATGAATGCAAAAGATCTGTAGTTGATCTGTTACGTCAAAACCCACACTGATGATCCCCAGTAATTTCATCTATTTATGGACTTAACCTTGAGAGAAGAATACTGGATAAAATTTTGTATGTAGTTGATAGCAGTGATATCCCCCGATAATTACTACAGTCAGTTTTATCACCCTTCTTGTGAACTGGTACAATAGACTCCTTCCACTGATCAGGCAATTTTTCCTTATGCCAAATAGAAGTAATTAGATTGTGGATCTTAGAACGTAATATATCTAAATGTTTTAAATCAAAGTTGATGAGAGGGTGAAAAATCCAAGAGCAAAAACAAGCCAGCAGTACTACAACATATGAAGACATAAATTCAGACATGTTCATCTAATGCAGCTATGTGTGTGACATTATAAAATTAAATCACATTTGTGGTGGAGAGATTCCTAGGGTGTAAAGCCTTTTACACAGAACTGCCATGACCATGCCACCATGGTGACACACATTTAGATAGCCACCCAGTGTGAAAGATGCCATACTGCTTATCAATACATTGCAATAGTGCAACCATGCTGGTTTGTGAAAAAGGCCTTATAATGGTGAGAAGGATGATGTGAACAGGTTTCAACAGTGCTGTCAGGAAGAATATCCCTGCCAACAGCAATGAACTTACATTGACACATGCTGTATGTAAGGTAAAAGAAAGGTAAAGCTATACCTGTAACAAGCTGTGGAGGCCCACAGGATTGTGAGACGTCAAGGCTCCCGCATTTTCTAGACAGTCGGCTGAAAAATGGTGGTGATACTGTCAGCCTTAAGCACTGGCCATCCTTTACCCCCCAAGAAGATTCCTGGTACTCATTTCTCTCAGAGGCTGAGTCAACACCAGGGCCACACTGCGGTTGGAAGGATTAGGTCAACTGAAAAATCCAAGGACATCAGGAATCAAACCCATGATCATTGTACCACAGTAAAATTTAATTCAGTCTAAACTGTAAGAATATGAAATATGAATTAATAAAGTTAAATGTCCATCATGTACTTTCATGCTGGTTAAGATGTTTTTCAGATAGTTTGGAGAATTAAAATTTGATACATAACAGAACAGATCTTTTTATTAGTGATGTGGACTGTTTCAAATTACAGTCTTTATCTGACTTGCATTTGAGGTACCCAGATCAAATTGATTTACTGGATTAGTCATAACAGGTTTTTTCAGTATCTCCAGGCAGATACTTTTAAAATTGGGCTATGCCAGTATCCTTCCATTTCCAATTCACCACACGATTATCTCATTCACTGCTAAGTAACCTGTAAAGTTAATGCCACATGCTAAATAATATGTGTAATACATTTATAGCTATATGACTGAGAAATCTCTGTGCCAGTAATGCCCCAGACTGTGATCTGTTTTTCTTCACATGAGACTTTTGGTATGCACCAGATCATGCATACTTTCTTCCTACAGTTTCTCCACTTTTTTGATTCATGCAAAATATATGCAGTTTGAAATGTCAGAATTGTATTAAATAAATGGTGTGTTTTCTTCTACAAGATAATTTTCAGACACCTTATGCAAAAGGTTATTTTATGTTTTTTGTAACAGCACTGAGTCATAATGTTAGGTAATGTATAAAAGATGGACATGGCATAGCTCAGGCAGTTAAATGGTGTCTTCCTACCATGGATTTGTTTCAATCCCAGGTGACTTAATGTGTGATTTTATGGCAGAGAAAGTGGCTGCTAATTATCCCACAGTTGCTCCATTCTCATCTCTTCTCCATGATGTATGCATCGTATTGTTGTATTGTATTTAATTTATTACACGTTCCAGCATTTCCATACAAAGCTGAAGCCATTGGATGCAGAACCTGTCACACCACAGGCTTGCCAAATCAGCAAGTAGTCAACAGAACAATGCATATAAATCCACAACAATAAATCGAGCATATGAAACCCATACACCTCACTGGAACTACATAACCTACCATGTGTATATAAGATATAATACAAAATTAGAACATGTACATGACAATAGATCAAATAATGGGTCATAGCTAAACAAGAAACTATCCATAATTAAAATATTCATCTAAAGTGTAATATGATTTTGTATGTAAAAATGCATTTAAAGCTGCTCTAAATTGCTTAATATTATGGATTAACTCTTTTATATTTAAAGGAAGATGATTAAAAAGTTTAATACCAAAATAATAAGGTCCCCTCTGGTAAGTTGTCAAATTTGTCAGAGGGTGATAAAGATCAAAATTACGCCTAGTATTAAGGCTATGAATTTGCGATGTCATGTGATATTATTCGCAACAAACATCAATAAAGAAAACATATATTGGGACTGCAATGGCAAATGCATCTCTATGAGAGTTCCTAGATCTCAACCCACTCATGGTTCTAATTATTCCCTTTTGAATTCTGAAAATGTGCGTACTATAAGAAGAATTGCCCCAAAAAATAATTCCCTAGGTCAAAAGTGAATGGTAATAAGAGTAATTATCATTTTTAATGTCTCTGTGGGCATAATGGGCTTGATCACCCTCACTGAGTAACAAGCCTTGCACAATTTAGGCAGGAGTTGGGATATATGAGCTTTCAATAGCTAATCCAAAATATGAGTATTTCACACTTGTACTACTTAAAATCACATTATTATGATAATTAACAGAAGTTACACTAATAGAACTTTGCTTTGTCATAAATTGAACATGTTTAGTTTTGTTAACATTTAGAGTTAATAAGTTTTAATTAAACCAATCAATAAGATAAGCAAATGAAATATCAACATCATTTCTGTATTGTATATTATTGTAACTACCAATAACTAAACTTGTATCATCCGCAAATAAAACTGATTTGACTGAGTTATTAAAAATTGTAGGTAGATCATTTATATAAAAGAGAAAAAGAAGTGGACCAAGAATGGACCCCTGTGGGACACCATGCCTTACAACATCCCCAACTAGAGGTACCAGCATAACTCAAAAGTCGCTGCTTGTTATCAGAACTCTCTGATATCTATCAGATAAATAGGATGTAATTAAATCGTGAAACTTACCATCTATTCCATAAAATTGAAGTTTGTTCAATAAAATCCCATGATTATTTAATGCTTCTAATATGTCATTAATTAATATATAGGAAGCTTTAGTAGTTGAAGACTGATGTCTAAAACAAAATTGTTCATTAACTATAATATTATGGTAATAGACATGCTGATTCAGTCTGGATAATATAATCCTCTCAAAGATTTTTGAAAAGGAAGTTAAAAGGGAAACCGGTCTATAGTTAATAGAATCATTTTTACAACCACCCTTAAACAAAGGCTTAATCTCAGCATATTTTAGCCTATCAGGAAAAATACCAGAAGATAACATTTTATTGCTAATATAAGTTAGTGGAGAACTAATTTTTAGAACTTTAACAGATATTTTGTCATCACTGTGAGACCCTTTTGTTATTAGAGATTTAATAATTTTAGTTATCTCAGTAGACGTTACAGCATGGTATTTTATACTAGGGAAAGGATGATTAAAAGCTTGTCACAAGTAATTAATGGTTTATTATTAATTTTAAAATTTTTATTTATATTATTTTCAACCACAGATAAGAAGAAACTATTCAAGGAGTCTGCTATATCTTGTTTATTACTAATAACCTTTACACTAACTTTTAATTCCTGGTGTCTACTTTGGTTAACTTCCCAGTTAATAATTTTGTAATATCCCAGACCTTATTTTTGGAATTTAATATCTGTTTATTATAATGTTTTCTTTTAACTTCCTTATAATGTTTTTAGTATCTTACAATACTGTCTCTAATGACACTTCAAGGCCTCATCATTACTATTCCTGCATAATAAGTAAAGATCTCTTTTATGCCTACAAGCGATATTTATGCCAGGAGTAATCCATGAATTATTATTTGATTTAATTATCCATTCTATTTGAGGAAAACTTAAATAGAATATTCTGAGAAATAAATTAAGAAAAGAATTAAACACTGTATTTATGTCATTAGCACCAAAGAGTCCCAAGTTTCAAAGCTCAGCATATATTTGAAATCCAACTCATTAGCCTGATCAATTTTTCTTATTATTTTTTTCCCCTTGACACACCCATTCTTAATAAACGCTTTAACTTCTGTTAAAATAATTAATTGCACATCATGATCAGAAAGCCCATTACATAAGGGATATATTACATAATTCCCCTGCAGAGACGCACCAATAAATATACTATCTCTTGCAGTTGCAGAACCATTTTGTAAGCTTTTTGAAAATTCACTGTACTCAATAACTTGAATGAAGGTAATAACAAATCCATTTTCTTCTTTTTGTTATTATCAGTTATATAATTACAATTTATACCACCACAAAGAACTACTTTAGTATTATTTATATAAAAAAATAAGAATGGATTCTAATTTTGATAAAAAGAGAGTAAAATTACCACTAGGAGCTCTGTAAATTGATATAATATAAATACTGTCAGAAAAGTTTGATAATACAATTGCACTTTCTTGAATATGTTGATCAATAGAGAATATTCTCAGATCAATTTTAGAGTAACTTAAGTCACAATTAACATAAATACAAACACCACCCTTTTTTTATAGAATGTCTACAATAACTGGCTCCCAGGGTATAACTTCCTAGATGAACTGTCGCTAGTTCCAGCTGATTAAGATGACGCTCAGATAACCACAATATATGAGGAAACTCAGGATATAAAAAATTTAAAATCTCATCAGTTTTACATCGCAGTCCTTGAATGTTTTGATGATAGATTTGAAGGGCCGCCTTAGATACATTTTTTATGACTCTTTACTCGACGGAAAATTAAATTTGCCCGAATGTACATGAGATAACTGTCCTTTAATCACCTTAAAATTCAAATAATTAGGTCCATCACATGAACTCACAGCATTACTAGTTACCCTAGAAGCCGACTTTACCATAAAAAATCTTGTTTTGTAACAGGAGCTTTTTTAACTTTAGTAGATGTTCTTGTTTTCGACAGCCTAGGATTATCAATATTTATGTTACCATTTACTGCACAACTGGAAAAACTTTCATTAACTGAACAAGGGATACTAACTAACTTGTCCCGAATAATTATTAAGTCCTGATTGTCGGATGTAGCAGTAGGAGAACTAGCTTGTAAGTAACTATCCCGCAAAGCAAGGGCTATTAAAGAACTAGTGCATACTTCCACTAACCCTGACCAAATGACTCATTACCATATCCTCAGTCTTCAAGTTTGGAAGCTTCATCTGTGACCTGGCATTTGTTTTTTTTTTTTCCTTGCAGTGTATAAAGAAGTTTTTGATGGGTAAAAGACATCCATGAAGTGCCATTAAATGAGCACGGTTATTCTGAATGACATATTTGTTTCTCTTCAGGCTAATGTTAGCTTTACATTTGAAGAGGAATGATTACATTAATATTATGTATCACCAGATCTAACTGTTCTGGCTTTCTGTCTCTGGAGATAACCTAGGAAGTATAGTCTGTAGTAATCAGATGGCAGAAGCAGATGATCTAAGAGACAACTGAAGAAGAAATCACATTTCACATTCCAAACCAAACAAAAGGAAGTGATCCACCATTGTATTCAACAAGATGGTTGTCATTTAAAGGGTACACTTTACAAAAGGTAAAATACTGCTAAAAATTTCGAGTGTTAAAATGAAGTACTTTTCTTTTTGTAAAAGGGTTATTCTACTTGAAAAAAGAGTTCATTATTTCAGTGCACCAAGTATATTATGGGTTAGGTCATTATCAAAGAATATGAGGAATTGCTAGATCCACATGTCATGACTCTTGGCCATGGACATGTTTAACTGAAATTATATAGTGTTAAACTTACCTTTTACAGTGGTGTTCAAAGAAGACCAACTTCAAAATAATGGTTTCATAAATTACAAGCTTCTATTTTATCACCAAACCTGTGTTAAGAAGCTAATATTCCTTCCTTCCCTAACACACTGCTTCAACATGCTATGGGTCACAATCATAGTTCATAGTTCAATATCGAATTCTCCTAATGGGCTTCGAAGCAATGTAACTGATCCGTGATTACGAACATCATCGAATTCTCCAAATGGACTTCGGGGCTACATAGCTAATTCCTGATGTAGGAACAACTGTGCAGAGTCAGGAACAGCCAGGAACATTGGTAAGGTGTCAGTGCAAAAAGGAAATAAACTGAAATTAACACACCAGCCTAATCGGAACCTACGATGCTATGACATAATATATATATATATACATATATAAATTCTGAAAGATACAAATTTATATAGTCATAACCTCCCAACAACAAAACATGTAGCCAACTGAAAGCTTACGTTGAAAACGAAAAACAATAAATGCGAAGAAATTCATAATAAACAGCAGATATAAAGATTAAAGTGGGGTCTACATTTACTCAATAAATAATTGGGTAATTAGCGTTCAATGAAACTTCTGCTTTTGTGTTTCTTGATATTAAATACATTCCGCCCAATTTGCATTTATACTTCGCGCTCTCGCGAGATAACGTAAAACAGCATGGCAGAAGCAGGTAGTAGCTCAGAGGAACTCTGTGATGAAACCAACTGGGTGTTTTATAAATATAGAGTTGAATGGAAAGACGTTACACCTGTTCCGCAGGATGATGGACCTTATCCTATTGTAGCGATTGCTTACTCAGAAAAGTGTGAGTATATGAAGCTAGCGTACCGATTACAAACATGATATGATGCAGGGTCACCAACAATTTCAATAGTTCGAATGTTGAGGAAAGCCGAGTGTGCATACATTAAGAATTCTCCAGTTTTCAGAAGTATTAAGTTCGCTCAGCCCCCCCCCCCACACACACACACACACAATAATTGAGTTACTCATTCGTGTAGTATAAATTCTAATGCCAGATAAGCTGTCAGTTTAGTGAAAAGTTTTCACGTCAATGCAGGTTATGCTAAATACTTTCTGTTGGTTTTGCGAAGAGTATTTCTAAAAACTGTCAACCAATTGTATCTCACAAAGCATGTTACGATGCTAGTTCAAATAGTGTCGACAATTGTTTCGAACAACTCTTCATACTGTATGCCGTAGCCCATGTTGATAACCACGCTTAAAAGTGCTGTTCGAAAGCAAATACACTTTTACATACCTTTTAGGCTCCTCCGTAACCTTACTGTGTGCCTATTAAATTCGCCTAGTCCGTCTGTATACCCATGCAACCGAAAAACAGTCAAACGCATTTTCATGAAATTTCATCTTGGGGAATTATAATAAAATGTAACAACATTACACTTTGGTTAAAACTGGCCAGAAGACAGTTTTTGAGGTTATTAAAGAAGAGCACAGCAGTGACTATGAAGACTACAGTCTTCTGAACCATAACTGGTTCTTGTTTGTGTCTTGTTGGTATTCTCTTTGACTATGTAGGTGGATGTGATACAACCCTCCATAATGTTGGGTGTTTTCTGTACGACACATGGTTACAACCCAGAAGACCTAATATTTAGTGTTAAACTTTGGAAAATCTAAAAGAGAAAAACATTAAATCGGGATTACTTTATACTTCTCTTGTAGCTGAAACACAACTTACAAATTGATTTATAAATGGGTCAGTGAAGATGAACATTTCTTCACACTAATAACACTAATAATTGTAACACCTCACATTGTAAAAGGAGTGTGATTAACATGGGAATAAGATTGTATAATAACTTGCCCTCTAAAATAAGAAGTATTCAAGAGTTCAAGGTTTTTAAGCGTCAATTAAAGGATTACTTGTTGTGCAAAGCTTTTTATTCCCTTCAAGAATATTTTTACAAGAATTAGCTTAATAATAGAACAAAGATACTTAGGTAATTTATTTTAGCTATTGCCTGTAATTTATAGTTTAGCTTTTGTTGCTTGATTATACTCATCCACTTTTTATCATATTTAAAGGATTTATTATGTTATTTTTGTATGGTTTTTTATATTATTAGTCATTTGATGTGATGTTTAATCTCATATATTTTTTTAAAAAACTGACTTGTCCAATTGTACATAATGTAACAGTTATGGATGTTAAATAAAAAGAAAAAAAGAAAAGAATAATAGTGAGAATTATCCCAGTAACTGTTTGATGTTACATCAGGTTTGCTATAAACATGGTACTTATACATGATGGAACTTGAGGGAAAAGTATTCACTTTGGTACGAAAATGAGCATGTAGTTGACAGTATGTTACAGGCATTGAACAATATAATGTTGTCTTGTTGAAATATTACTAATAGAACTATCTTTTTCTTTTCAGTTCAGGATATTTATGACTATTTCCGAGCAGTTCTCAAGTCATGTGAGAAATCAGAACGTGCCCTCCAGCTAACAAAGGATGCCCTTGATTTGAATCCAGCAAACTACACTGTTTGGCAATATCGGTAATTTCCTCTGTTCACTGACAGTTGACAAGCTCTAATTTTTGCTGTGTACTGGATGAAAATGCGGAATAATAAAGCATATGATCTGTTTCAGTTGAATTTGTTCATACTACATACTACATAGAAACTTTATATGACCCTTCAGAATCTATTCATTGTCACATTTCATCACCAAAGTATGGAAAGAAGAAATTATGTCTCACATTCGTATTACAAGTAACAGTCTTTGCTGGTAGAGATCATTGTGTATATATCTAGTGTACAGTCTTTAATTATGTGAGTCAGAAGTAGTTAAAGACAGTTACTACAGATGCCATCAGCTTCCATTGTTCTGTGTACAACACCATATTGCTGTACAAAGCCTACGGAAATACTGCATAAGTCTGTTAGCCACTTAACAAAATCACCTTGCCCATATATCTACACTGAGGTAAAAATTGCTCGCTGTTGGTCTGTGTTGTGTATCTATGGTAATGGGACAGGCATATCTCTGGAGCCCTAACTGTAGAGATGTGCCGAGAAGTGATGAACTAATGAAGCCTCTGGCAAATAATGGAAAGAAAAACAGTGGTGCCCAGTTGCCATGTTGCAAGCACCAGGTTAATGATGTAATAATGTAAGCAAGGCCTTCTAAGTAGAACTCATAAAACTTATTTTCCTGTTGCATAGATTTCTAGTCCAACAGGTACTCTGTTATTATAAACTCCGTTGCCTGTAGTCCATAAGCGAACTATACCAACCGAGCAATTGCACCTTGTCAGCAAAGTTAGTGCCAACATTTTGCGGATAGAGGGTATTGCGTGGTCAGCACAATGGATCCCCACGGCCATTAATCTCGGTTTTTATAGACCATTGATGCTATTTCCTTGAAATAGCTCCTCAGTTATCCTGGCGAGGATGAGTCCACCCTGTTCCAGACCCCCTACTACTTAGAAAATCTGGTAGTGCCAGGAATCAAACCTGAGACCTCTGGTTCTGTAGCCAGGAACTCTGACCACTAGACCACAGAGGCTGTCACTCTGTTATTATAAGTATGTTAATTTAATTTAGCAGGAGAATTTACTACATAAGTACAGATTCTGCCTACTTGAAGTTTCTCATCATTGCCATGTTACAACTGTTGACTTAAAAACTGTATTTTGTATGTAATATATAAAGTAAACTAAAGCAAAGTACCCCTGTGCTTGATTAGTTAAGCATTAAGTCATGAAGTTTTTTGGAGGAGTGGAGGTATAGCTCCACTGTTCTTAGCCTTGGCACTAGATGGTGATGAGTGGTCAGCTTCAGACCCATGAGGAAACATCCCACCACCAACTGTAAAGGATGCAGGTCAGGTCTCAGAGCCACTCTGAAAGCTATGAAGAAATGAGAAATCTTTTGTCTTTGCCAGGAATCAAATCCTGATTCCTGATTCATCCAGCCTGTAGCCTAGTGGTTGTACTGAATGAGCTATTCACTCTCACAGTGTTTATGTATGTTTATTTTCTATCTTGATATTAAACTTCACATGATTAACTCCATTGGTCCATTAGTTATTTTCACAATTTATTCTGTTTAAGAAGTACATATCCTTATTTGTAATGTACAACATATGAGTATTGGTGCTGGATTGTCAGCAGATTATGGTTAACAGGAGAATAGTAGGAGAGTCAGGCAATTCAGTCATTCAAGGGAGAACATTTATTAATTACTTCTTAATGGGATTTGAGAATTTTGCACTGGTGGAAGAAGGACCCTGAAGATGGAGGCAGCAAGTTCCTCCAAAACATTTGTAACCATATAAAAAACTTCACAATGTTACAATCCATAATACCACAGTCTTCTAGACAAGGTGAAATCAGTCCATTCTAATTCAATTTGAAGTGCAATTCATAATTTTTATGTAAAATCTCAACTGATTTCAGGAGGGAGATTTTGAAGCACCTCAACAAGGACTTGATTCCAGAACTGCATTATGTAAAGGAAGTGATAGAAGATAATCCCAAGAATTACCAAGTATGGTATGTGTATGTACTGAATTTAGTTATTTGACAGTACATACTTCTGTATCTTTTCAGATAGGAATGCAGATGGCCCTAACATTTAAAAAAAATTGAGTCTCTCTTTCTCTTTTTATACATTAACCTTTAGTGTCTGAAGTGCCCCATTCGGGCCAGTGATGACTAAGGTCGTCATGGCCAAAGTACCCCGTTTTGGCCAGTCGGGCATTTAAACTCTGCTACTAGAAGCACATGCATAGTACTAAATATTTATTTTTAAATGTAGTAATTACCAGACTGACTTGAGTAAAACCCTAATAGATGAATTAAAATGATACCTAAGTGAACAACAACAAAAAGAGTATACATATGAGTTATGCTCAAACTCATCCACGTGCCAGTACGTTTATTGCAGATTCTGCAGATTAATATGTTAAAAATATATACTAAAATTCGATGTACATACCTTTTTTGTTGTTATCTGCTTGATGTATATATAGGCTGAAATGAAACTAAGGTATTCTATTTCACTACGAACGCACAGAAAACAGACCGCACTCTGTATCTTAGCCACGATGCAGCTGTCTGTTCACGCCCATAGAAAGGGCAGTAATCTTTTGCAGCTATAACGGAAGGTCTTAGCACTGAATAAGGGACCCCTTTAGCTATTTCTTGAATAGCCATGCTTTCATTCTTCTGTTATTTAGTCAAAAGATTCAAGAATCTGAAGAGAGTAACAAAGATGTAAGGTTTTCCAGCAGAGAACCAAATGATTTTATTGCTTCCATCTGTTTTATGGCACCAGGGACTGCTAACATTTGTCAAGTGTTACAAACAGAAACGAATTTATAATGCAGAATAACTCTGTGAAGAACTTGGAAACCACTTTTGCAGTACACATCAAAATTAACACATTGCGGACCGGTGGTTTAAACATTTAAATCACCCTGGGGACCGGCGGTTTTAAACCTACTACCCTAACTTGTGCACTGTTCACTTTAAAAATTAATATAAAATCTCCTAATTAATTTTATGAACTGAAATTTTTTGAGAACACTTACCAGAGCTCCTAGAAGTGCTTGCTCGTGTGATATCTCTCATTCATTCATTCATTCATTTATTTTTCGTTCCATGGATCCACAATACAAGTGAGATATAGGACATGTCCATACAGTGATTATTCTTAAAATTAATAGAGCAAGAACCAAATACATAAATAAAAAGTATAAAATACAAAAATTGAAACAAAACATGTAGAATTAAATAGATTCCAGTCATATAAGTTACTTTAATAAAACATGCAGTTTAAATTTAAACAATGTCAGTTTGAACATATCACAGAAATTGCTTAGGTGACTAGACTAGAATAGTAGAATCATGACTAGAATAATACTAATAAAAAACTGGATGATCAACAGGTGATTCTAGTGAATGCATAATCATTAACTTATAATGATTTATATTGGAAATACTCTTCCACAGAATAAAAATGATGAAGACAAAGAAAACGCTTTAAACAAATTTTGAACTTCTTAGGGTTGAGTGACTCTTCTTTTATATAAGAAGGAAGTTTATTATAAATTTTTATGCCCATATAATACACTCCCTTTTGATATACCGTAAAATTTGCTATGGGTTGATAGAAATCTGTAATATGTCTTGTATTTGTGTTATGATTTAGTGAATTTGGAATAAAGAGACTTTTATTATTAACCACAAAGAGCATGAGCGAAAAAATGTACTGTGATGCCAAGGGCAAAATTTCCAATTTCCGAAAGAGATCTCTACATGAAACTCTACTATTACAGCCGATCATAATTCTAACTATCTTCTTCTGCATTCTAAATACTTTTATACTATGAGGCGAGACTCCCCAAAAGCAAAGACCATAGTTCATAACAGAGCCAAAATAAGAGTAGTAAATTGTTTTCAAAGTTTTTAGAGGCAAGTATGGTTTAATACTTCTCATCATATAACATGCTGAGGTAAGTTTTGGGATTATACATTCCACATGTGAACTCCAGTTGAGTGTATCCATTATGTTTATACCAAGAAACTTAATATTTGACACAGTGGTTACTGGACGATTGTTACAAACAATATCTACGTCAGTTGTGAGTTTATTTTTGGTTTTAAACTGCATACTATGAGTTTTATTAATATTTATTGAAAGCAAATTTGTCCTAAACCACTTATATAAATGATTAAAAACATTATTCATATT